TCTGAACTTTTTGGACAGGGGGTTGGACTAGAAGACCTGCGATGCCCCTTCCGATTCTGTTAGTCTGTTATTCTTCTCCTCTGCAGTGCCCCACAGCAGATGAATCCCTCCAGCTGAGGCCCAACTGGTGCCAACGCAGACAACCATCCATCCTAAGTGAGAGGGGATTATTCACTCTTGGCTGATTTTTAGACATAAACTAACTCTAATTAAGGGTAATTGTCAGAGCAAAGAATCTTGCTGGTTGTAGAAGAAGTGTTAGACGTGCCTTTTTGACATGTCTTTTAATCTTTATCTGGGCTTGGGGACCCACAATGAAGAAACATAAGACCAAGAGAATGAAAAAGAGAAGTAGAATTCCTACTTGGAGTCATTTGTCTTCCGATGAATTGCTAACTCCTTTGACCCTTGATAAACGAACTTGATTAAATCAACTGCCAGTTCTCTGACGCTATATTTAACATTTAGAGTTTTAGGATAACTATTACCCGTATGTATATCTGTTGCCGAGAAGAATTTATCCAGTGTTTTTCAGACTTGATAAGTTTAAGATGTACAGATTTCAACTCCCAGAATCCCCCAGCCAGCATGGCTGGCTGGAGGATTCTGGGAATTGAAGTCTGCACATCGTAAAAGTTTGAATTTCTCCTTTGTTTGCTATGTCATGCTATGCCAGTTGCCTCATGGAATAAATTTAAATGGTGTCCCCTGCTTGCGTTCACTCAATATGTTAAAGTTGGCTAAGCCTGGTTGGAATTTTTGAAGTTTAACGTGTTGTAGATACTGGACCCAAAACCGGGAGTGAGTTCTAGTCCTGCATTAGGCATGAAAGCTGAGTTCCAGTCCTGCATAAAAGCCAGCTGGGTGACTTTGGATCAATCACCAGGAGACTGTGAATGCTAGTCCTACCTTAGGCACAGAAGCCAGCTGGGTGACTTTGGATCAATCACCAGGAGACTGTGAATTCTAGTCCTGCCTTAGGCACAAAAGCCAGCTAGATGACTTTGGATCAATCACAGGGTGTTTGTTCTGGGGAAAATAGGAGGAGGAGGAGGGAGTAGCATGTTCACCATCTTGAGTTACTTACAAAGCAATAAAAGTGGGATAAAAAACATCTAATAAAATTACACTGACTTTCTGCCAGCTTGAAAAATAGCTCCTTTGTAAGCATATGTCATCCTGGGCTGCTCCTGAGGGTCAAAACAGGGCGGAGGAGAAGAGGTGAGAGTTAAGATTTAAAATATCTGGAGGGAGGGGTTGGCCCTTTCCCTCCCACTGAGTCATTTCGTGGATTCCACTGGAAAAAAAGCTTGCAGTGCAGAATAAAGCCCCAGATGAACGAAGAGTAGCAGTCGGTGGATGGCGACTTTTTGCATCGGAACACCAGATTCAAACGAAAAGGAGAAGGTGATTTGCAGAGGATGCCGGGAAAAAAATACACCCGGGTAGCCCTCGACCTATGACCTCAGCGGAGCCCAAAATTTCCGTCGCTAAGTGAGACCGTTTGTGAAGTGGGTCTTGCCCCGTTTTACGACCTCTCTGGCCACCGTTCTTAAGTGCATCGCTGCAGTTGTTAAATTAGAAACCCGCTCGTTAAGTGAACCAGGCTACCCCGTGGATTTTGCTTGTCGGAGGGGGGGGTCGCAAAAGTGGAATTCCATGACTTTTTTTTTTTGCCCGTTAAGCAAATCGCTGCAGTCGTTAAGCGAATCGTGGCTTTCCCCCATCGGTTTCGTCAGAAGCTGCTGGGATGGTCACAAACGGGGATCACGTGACCTCCCCCGGGGGACGCTGCAACTGTCATAAATACAAGTCAGTTGCCAAGCCTCTGAACTTCGATCACGTGACCGTGGGGAGGCTGCAACCGTCGTAAGTGCGAAAAACGGTCAAAAGTCCACTTTTTTCAGTGCCACTACAACTTCGAATGGCCACTAAATGGAGTGTTGTATGTCGAGAACCACCTGTAAGCCCCTGTTCAGTGATTTGGGAACTCAGCCGGGATTGTTTCTCTTGGAAAAGCAGCCTGTGGTATGTCTGTTTGTTTTGCAAAGAAACAAGGCTACAGTATTGAGTCACCCACTTGGAACAGAGCCCCGGAGCCAAATTCAGAGTATTTTCATTAAAAAAGGAGAGGGGGGGGGGTTTGAAGTTGTTTGGTTCCTCTGCTGAGAAAATCAACTTTCCGCTGAGGTCAGGATGGGACCGCCTGTCACCAGCCCGGCTGAAAAACCACAAGGGACTTTGAGCAACAACTGGCAGAGGCAACATTTCCTTTCTATGATTCAATGAGTCAGATGTGCCCAAATTCAAGGACTGACTCATATCCCTTGTGTGTGTTTGTGTGTATAATGTTTCCCCAAGCTAGCTTTGCAAGAAAATTCAATTATAAGGATAATGCGGTACGCATGGCTTGGTTCACTGACTTGGCCCCAAAACTGCAGCCAGTTTTGGTCACCCTATCACAAAAAAGATGTTGAGAGTTTGGAAAAAATTCAGAGAAGAGCAACTAAGATGATCAAAGGCCTGGAGAACAGCTGCGGGACTTGGGTTTGGCTAGTCTAAAGAAAAGAAGAAATAGGGGAGACATGATAGCAGTGTTCCAGTATCTGAGGGGCTGCCACAAAGAAGAGGGGGTCAGGTTGTTCACCAAAGCACCAGAGGGATGGATGAGAAAAAGTGATTGGAAACTGATCAAAGAGAGAAGCAACCTGGAATTAAGGAGAAACTTCCTAACAGTGAGGACAATCAACCAGTGGAACAGCTTGCCTCCAGAAATCGTGGGTGCTCCATCACTGGAGGTTTTAAAGAAGAGATTAGACATTCACCTGTCTGAGACGGTATACATTCTCCTGCTTGAGCTGGGGGCTGGACTAGAAGACCTCCAAGGTCCTTCCAGCTTCTATTCTATTCTATTCTATTCTATTCTATTCTATTCTATTCTATTCTATTCTGTTCTGTTCTGTTCTATTCTATTCTATTCTATTCTATTATTGTCTTTTCTTCTCTTCTATTCTTGTCTTCTTATTTCTCTTCTCTTCTTTTTTCTTTAGTCTAGTCTAGTCTAGTCTAGTCTAGTCTAGTCTAGTCTGTTTTTGCATTGACAACACATTTTTCTTCTACAAATGGGGATCACGTGACCCTGGGGACACTGCAACTGTCATAAATACGTACTGGTTGGCAAGTGTCTCAATTTTGATCCCGTGACCCTGGGAATGCTGCGACAAATGCTGCGTGAAAAATGGTCACAAGTCACTTTTTTCAGTGCTATTTTATTTTCGAACGGTCGCTAAACAAACGGTTGTTGAGGACTGCTCGCATGCTGTTTGTTTTCTGTTCCTGGACAAACTTTGCGGGTGGTGCTTATCAGCTCCAAGCATTTCCAGCATAGTCAGGAAGAGAGCGACATCTAGTGGCAACAATAGTTATTTTTGCTGATTTGCTCTTAAATGGTGGACTCAGGTAAGGAACAGAACAGAATAGAATATAGAATGAAAGAATAGAATAGAAAATAGAACAGAATAGAATAGAAAAGAGAATGAAAGAATAGAAGCTGGAAGGGCCCTTGGAGGTCTTCTAGTCCAGCCCCCTGCTCAAGCAGGAGAATTTATACCACTTCAGACAGGTGATTGTCTAGTTCCAGAGCTGAGAGGCAATTTATTGGCTCTTTATTGGCTACGAATTCAAAAGAATTACCTTATTCCAGGGATGCTCCAGGCATTCTGGCAATTCTATGGTGGTTACGTGTTCTTCAGTAAATTAGTCCTCACGTTACGACTGTTTAATGATTGTTCAACGTTACGACAGTGCTGAAAAAAGTGACTTACCAATGGTTCTTGCACTTATGACCACTGTAGTCCCCGGGGTCATACAAACACTATTTACGACCTTCCTCCAGAGGATGTCCAAGAAGCAAAGTCAATGGGGGATTCCCTTAACGATTGCATGTTTCATTTAACAACTGCAGTGACTTGGGTTTTTTTGCAGTGGCAAAAAAAGGATGCAAGGTTGGATGGAATACACATTGCTCAACACCACACCGGAAGTGGTGCCATCGAAAATCCCGCCAAATGTGAAGATGCCAAAGGAGTATGGCTAATGAAGTTCATGGAGCGTGGTTTGACCATCAATCCAGAAGTCTACTGTGAAACATTAGGAAAACTCAAGACAAGCCACCCATAACAAGCGTCCGGGCATGCTGGCTTCCGGTGTGGTGTTGGTTCACAATAATGCTTGCCTGCACACCACTAGACGCACCCAAGGACTTTTGAAGCAGTCCCGTTGGGATGTTTATGATCACCCCTCCCCATAGCCCAGATTTGGCACTGAGCGACTGCTACTAAGGAGTTTCAAACTTTATAAGACGTTATGACAAGTGCCTCAATTTGAATGGTAATTATGTCAAAAAGTAATGTAGTTGTTTTCTAATGTGTATAATAAAAGTTCTGTATCTGCAAGTGTCTGTCATTGATAACCAACCAGAGGTTTATTTCTGAATTCCCACATAGATATAATGATGGATGGAGGGATAGTAATGATGGATGGATGGACAGATTTAATATTTGCTTATTTGCTCTTGAAGGGTATATTAAATAAATATGTGTTGTGTTCTTTCTTTGACAGTAGGAGCTGTTTCAATTGGGAGCATTCTCTGAGCTTTAGAATAGAATAGAATAGAGCTGGAAGGGACCTTGGAGGTCTTCTAGTCCAGCCCCCTGCTCAAGCAGGAGAACCTATACCGTTTCAGATAGATGAATGTCCAGTCTCTTCGTAAAAATCTCCAGCGATGGAGCGCCCACGATTTCTGGTGGCAAGCTGTTCCACTGGCTGATTGTCCTCACTGTCAGGAAGTTTCTCCTTAATTCCAGGTTGCTTCTCTCTTCACCCTAACCTGGCCATCCACCACACTTACTTTGAAGGCCAATTCTGAAAGTTACTGTGAGAACAATGGGGGAAAAAAATGCACAGAACGTGTTCCCAGTATGAAGCACCAATACTACCGCTTAAGGTGGAACCATTTTTATTGACACAGACATGTATGTTGGTAAAAATCTGTATTTTTGAAACCACGTCTTTCCAACATTCTCCATGCTTCAGAAATAACTTTGCTTTTCCAATCTTAATCTCTAAGCTATTTACATCTTTAACTACTTTAGGAAAGCAAAACCTTTTGCAAAAAGGTACAGCTTGGCAATTCTATCTGAAGCTACCAAAAAAGGATGCTTATGGGAAGCTGGAAACAATAAACATCTGAGGGAATTGCGATACATTTTGCAAGAACAGATGTCACAGGCCTTGTTAGTTTGCTAGAACACACTGACTGGGTTAACCAGTGTGTGTGTGTGTGTGTGTATGCTGGTGTATAGGAATACCACACTGACAATTCTTCTTCTGTTACAATGTTAAAGCCTATGCTACTTCACAGTTATGCTGTCACCCAAACACACATTTTTCTACCTTCATATATCGATAAAAATAAGAAGTCACAATGGGTTGCAAATCTTTCACCCCAAATGAGAGCAAAAGGCTCCATAAGATCCTTGTGGGTTTTTTCCCCACACGCTGGAAAAAATGAATTCTAGATCGTTCTTAACGAAGGAGAAGATGAAGAAAAACTTCCACGCAGTAACTTTGACCATTCTTTCTTGAGACAACTCAAGAACAAATGGAAAGAATTAAAAGTTGATGAAAAGAACGCCTCTTTTGGGGCAGAGTTTATGAACGCTGAAAGAAGAAGATTAAACCCAAGTCTGCGAGAAGAACTTTGTAGATTCTTTGATAAACTGCTTTCTGGACCATGAAAACTCGAATCTGCTACAGGGAACACACCTACGATGTCAAACTTGATGGCCGTTCACCCAAAATGATAACAGCGTAAAAAGGCCCAACAGACCGACTCAGTGGAAGAAAAGGGACACAAGAGCATTTAACAATTAACAGCATCATTCAGAGCAGAGTGGAAGATATAGAAGGAATACAGCACACAACTGTACTATCGAGAACAGAGCTCTACAAATGATTGTTGTCGTTGACACAAAAGCTTCAGATGACACAACATGAAACGCAACACTGCACATGCAATGGCTAGGCTAGAGGTCTCCCTGATGGGAATTACAAAGCACGGGTTTAATTCAGCTTCTGGTAAGCCACAGGACTTTGCTGTTGTGCTGTGTGTTCAGGGTGAGAACAGCTGCTTGCTGGAGCTAAACACGGTTTTTGCCTGCTTGAAATCTGCATTGCAACCAGAAATAAAAGTCAGTCTCTGGTTCACTGTTTTCTAACTTAAGCAGCCAGGCCATGAATAATGAGAAGTTAAATGAAATTAAAACGTTCCACGGGAAATCCAAAAGGGACGGAAAACTATCGTTAAGCCCCCCGCCCCTTGGGGAATATCGGATGATACCCAATATTTCAGCTGGAGGGAAAAGAAAAAAATTTAAAAACCTTAATGAGAGTTACTGCTTCTGCTCACTCTAAATTCCAACCCAAGAATAATCTACTTTTCCGAATAAGGATCGATGGGTTACAGGACATTTTAAAAAGTCTTGTGCCATGTTTTCAAAGTAAGCTTCATCATTAGCCTCTACAGAAAAAGGTGAAGTGAGCCCATCGTTGAATTTTTATAGCCTTTCTGCTAAAGCGGAGGACCCTTGGGGGGGGGGGGTTTAAAAACACAAGAACCCACTAACCACTTGTCAGTTTTCTCCAGGCATTCCCTGTTTAGACAACAAATGGCCTGAATTCAAACAAGGTGCCCCATTTTCCCCTCCGTAACGTACTTGATTCAACCCCCGGATAACAGACCTTTGAAAAGGCCCAGTGGGTGTGAAGGAACTGTTATCCTTCTCCTACTCATCTCTTTCTTCATCACCTCAAATCCTTGTGGGGAATGATAAACCCAACCGATTTTCAGGCGAGCAAATTGAAAGGGCAGACTTTGTGCAGCTTAAGGTGTCATAATCCGACTGTTCCTGCTTAAGACACACACCTACACACAAACACATACACACCGCCTCTTTCTATCTCTTTTTAATCACACAGGGGGATCTCTTCTTGGATCTTCCCAGATCATCATCTCTGCAGATCATTTCCCCTTCCTGCAAAAGCTCTGCGTAAACCCTGGCTTTTTCAGCGAAGGCCCCGGCCTCCCAGCCCACTTGCCAATCAGATTTATTATTATTTTTTTTTTCCAGTGGACTGTTGTAGATAAGGAGGCTGAGCGGCTCAAATTCAACTCATTTTACGTTTTGCCGGCCCGATCCACACCTTTGGGTTCCTGCCAAGCTAATTTGCTTCCTGGAGGAGAGGAACAAACAAACGAGCAAACAAACAAACAAACGGTTGAGATATTCACAGGTATTTCAGCAAACGTGTGATTTTTTTTTTTCCTCTTATAGGGTTTTTTTTTTGTTTTTTTTACCAGCATGAAACCCTCACTTCCGTCAGACACGGGATCAGCTTGCCACACCCTTTTCCCCACCAAGGAAGTTTTGCTTAAGACAAAACTGGAGCGCACAAATCAAGGGGAAGGATCTGGGGGGGGGGGGGGTAAAAAAAAAAAGAAGAAGAAGAAGGGCTATCCCATTTTAAATTCCTGGCAGCCTGTGTCCCCCAGTTTAGCTCACCCCGCCGGTGGTTGTGTTAAAAGGCAAGCAAGTGGTGTTGTGTTTGTCAGCCCTCCTGAGTGTTTTATTGTCCTGCCTCCCTCCCTGGCCAACGCTCTCTCTCTCTCTCTCCAGGCTCCTATTTTTCTCTATAATAAAGCAGGTAATATTTCAACGGGTCGGGAAGAGGCAGGCTGAGAATCTTTTCCCTCAAGGTATTGGTAGGCGGTTCGGGCTTCAGTTCCGGAATAGAGTTCTCCACCTCTTCCCTGCAATCTTCCTCCAATTCCTCACAATTAGTATCCTCCAACGGGTTGGAGATCCGGCTTGCAAAGACCTCTTTGTCCAAGAAGACAATGGTTTCCATGCGGCGGTGCCGGACCCGGCGCCGTTTAAACCTCGGCGGGTTTCGGAGGCCGTTTCCGTTCTTGCTGGCTCTTTCTTGGTGGATCAGCTTTTTAATGGTGCCGCGGATGGCGATCCGAGCCAGGTCCTGCAGGCTGCGAACCACCACAGGGGCTGGAGAGAGGAAAGAGGAGAAGGAAACAGGTGGGGGGACCTGTGTTCGGAGCCAGGAGTTATACCTGGCTCAGGGTAGGGGAGACTAAACTGATGGGAGAGAATATTTGTGGCTCAGGATTGAACGGGTGGGTCCTGGGTGCTCTCTTGAGCTTGGTGGTTTTCTTGCCGATGTTTCATTGAGCCGAGGTGGCGCAGCAGTTAGAGTGCAGTACTGCAGGCCACTTTAGCTGACTGTGTTCAGCAGGTCAGCGGTTCAAATCTCACCGGCTCAAGTTGACTCAGCCTTCCATCCTTCCGGGGTAGGTAAAATGAGGACCCAGATTGTTGGGGGCAATGTAAATATATATATATACATTGCTTACTGGTGTACACCGCTTAGAGAGTGCTTGCACTTCAAGCGGTATATAAGTCTCATAAATAAATAAATAAATAAATAAGTTAACAGAATAACAGAGTTGGAAGAGAACTCATTGGGTCTGACCCCTCCTCAAGCAGGAGATCCTATACCTGTGGTGGCGAACCTATGCCACAGGTGGCACGCAGAGCCCTCTCTGTGGGCACGCGTGCCGTCGCCCCAGTCCTAGGCCTTCAGCTGGGTTTTATAAAACCTTTTCGCTTTAGGCCTCTGCCGTGTGCAAAAAAAAAAAAAAGGTTCAATCAATCAGTCAATTTCAACTTCTTGCAGGAAAAAAAAAAGATCTTGCAAAGTTGGAATTGATTGAAATTTTTAATCCCACCCAGTCTGCTGTTACCACCGCAGCCATGCCCACCCAATGGGCCACGCCCACCCAATGGGCCACACCTACCCGGCACCCAATGGGTGGCATTTTGGGCACTCGGTCTCTAAAAGATTCGCCATCACTGTCCTATACCATTCCTATACAGGAGTCATTCGATACAACACGGGTGAGAAATAAATTTCCGTAATAAATAAATCAAAATAAATTCCGGGCAAATAGACATCCAATCTCCTCTTAAAAGCCTCCAGGGATGGTGCACCCACAACTTCCGAAGGCAAGCCGTACCACTGATTGATTGTTCTCACTGTAACATTATCGGCACTAGAAGGAAGAGGGGGTGCTCTCTCTTTATATACAAATGAGTTGTGACAAGCCCAATCAAGGAGCTATCGAGAACATTCCCACCACTTGTACATATGCAGGGAACGAACTACCAAGCTCAGAGAGCACCAAGGACCTCACAATATTCCTCCTCCTCCTCCTCTGCAAACTCCACTCCCTTCTGGCACTGATGACGTTACCTAGTTGGGTCATGAAATGTCTGTAGGAAACCAACCAAGCTCCAGGAGCACCAAGGACTCAGCGGAAATTAAACCGATCAAAAAGGTACAGCAATCTGATCAAGGAGCTGGAGAAATCTACCGTATGCTGGGCAAGAGCAGAGAGCTGATTGGTCTCTACGTTGTCTTCCAACGCAAATTGGAACGAGATGAGATCCCCTGAGCAACCAGAATGGCCACATCAACAAGTTAATAATAATAATAATAATAATAATAGACTGAGATTCATGTCTAATTAATTATTATTATTGACTAAGGTCCACATCTACATAATAATGATAATGATAATGATAATGATGATGATGATGATAATAATAATAATAATAAAGTTGGAAGGGACCTTGGAGGTCATCTAGTCTAGGGCTTTTCAACCAGTGGTACGGGTACCACCTGTGGTATATTGGCACCTGGCATGTGGGACGCAACCATCCTAGAAAAGTGGTAGCGGGGCAGAGGAATGAGCTGAACCGGTGGCAGCACCACACAAGTCTGAGAGAGAGAGATGGCTGGAGCTGCAGGGCTCAGTGGAAGCACCAAGATCAATCAGTGCCGCTTTCCAGCTGATCGGCGCTTCTTCGGGGCTGTCAGGGCTCAGTGGAAGCACCAGGATCAGCGCCAGGTTCCAGCTGGAGCTCGGTGCTGATCCTGTCGCTTCTGCTGAGCCCTGAAGAAGCACCAATCAGCTGGAAAACAGCACTGATCCTGGTGCTTCTGGTGAGCCCAGAAGAAGTGCTAATCAGCTGGAATGTTGCAGCATCTCCAGGATCTTGTGATTTACATTCAGCTGCTTGGCAACTGATTCATATTTATGATGGTCACAGTGTCCCAGGGTCATGTGAAGTGACCAAAACCTGCTGCAACCACCCAGCAGACGGGGGGGGGGGAGAATAAAAACCAAACACCCCCCACCCCACTGTCAACAATGAAAACCTCGGACAGGAGGAAGAGTGCCGCCGGGTGGGCAGGCAGGTGTCTTGCTCGGCTGTGGCTTGGGGGGCACTTTTTTCAGTGCCATTGTAACTTCTAAGAGTCACTAAGCAAACTGTTGTAAGTCCAGGACTACCTGTACTTTATCACTTTTTTCATTTTTGGGGGGGGGGCGGGGTCATCAAGTTTTGCTAGGCAACTGGTGGTATTCAGATACTGCCATATCCTAAAAGTGGTACAATGGGTGAAAAGGTTGAAAAACCCCGATCTAGTCCAACCCCCTGCTCAGGCAGGAAACCCTATACCAGGGGTAGGCAACCTTGGCTCTTTTATGACTCGTGGACTTCAACTCCCAGAATTCCTGAGCCAGCATGGCTCAGCTTGGAAACTCTCCCTTTCCCCTCAGCACGGCTGGCTCAGGAATTCTGGGAGTTGAAGTCCACGAGTCATAAAAAAGCCAAGGTGGCCTACCCCAGATAAGTGACTGTCCGGGTCTCTCCTTAAAAACTTCCAGTGTTGGAGCGTTCACAACTTCTGGAGGCAGGTCGAGTTATTGTAGTATAATAACAGTTGTTACGTTAACCTTACCATCTTCCCTGGCTTCCTGCTGTCTGAAATTGGCACAGTCCCAAACAGGTAAATAGGTATCACTTCGGCGGGAAGGTAATAAGCGCTGGGCAAAGTCATACTGTCCACTTGATTGTGGAAGTGTCTTTGGACAGTGCCGGCTCCATGGCCTTGAAACGGAGATGAGCAGCGCCCCCTAGAGCAGTGGTTCTCAACCTTTTTAATGCCGCGACCCCAACCAGTCGTAAGTCGAGGACTAAACCGGTCATAAGTCGAGGACTAAACCAGTCGTAAGTCGAGGACTACCCAACTGGTCGTGAGTCGAGGACTTTCCCTGCCCAGGAGTGCCGCGCATGCGTGGTGCCGCCCCCTGCGCCGGCCGAGGCGTAGCTGGCAAGCGGCAGAGACGGAGCAGGCCGACCACCGGCTGGGCCACCAGCTGGCCCAGCCCAAGGGAGGTAAGGCACCCGGCGGAAAAGCGGAAAAAAATGGCGGACAGCCTTGCTTGGCGACCCCCGTGAAATAGTCGATCGACCCCAAATGGGGTCGCGACCCATAGGTTGAGAACCGCTGCCCTAGAGGCTGACAGAGTTAAAATCTGCAGGGACTCCTAATGTGTTTCAGACTATTGGCTTCCTTTTGTATCCCACTTGGCCAGCAGCATGTTAAGCAAATAGCCAAGGCGTTCCTTTCCATAGGCATTCCCTATTTGTGTGCTTGCTTACTCTCTTGTCGTCTCTTCCTTTCCGATAAGCAAACACTGATTCCCCCCTTGCTAATTATCCCACAAGAGAGGTGAGGCTTCCTAAGGGTGAGCGAATGGAGAAAAGAGGCTATAAGAAGATTTATACCTTTCTCCCAGCTCCCTCGTGTGTCAAGTTCGGGAACGTGAACCTTCCCCGCCATTAGGGCTGACTCGGCTGATGGGGCTTATATCCTCCTGACATTGCAAGCACTGACGGGCAATTTCGTGATAAACCCTTTTTAAAGATTTACTACGAGCCCAGGCTTCTCTCTTGGTGTTCTCCTTCTTTGGTAGACCTACTGGAAGTTCTACATCAAGTGTTGGACATGCAGATTGATGGAAAGCGGGGTTAAACTGGTTCATGCTTAGTCTGGTAAAGAATCTGAATCAAGCTCTATACCAGTGGTTCTCTACCTGTGGGTCGGGACCCCATTTGGGGTCAAATGACCATTTCACGGGGGTCGCCAAACAACGCAGTCCGGCCTTTTTTCCCCCTTTTCCTTAGCTGTGCTACTCCCTTTTATTCTATTGGCTTTTGAAAGCCAATAGAATAGACTCTCTTGAATAGAGTCTAATTCTATTGGCTTTCAAAAGCCAATAGGAATTGTCCAGGCTGTCTCTGCCCTGCTGAGCCCACCAAAAGTCCCATTCTGCAAACAGTGCTGCACCAGTTGAGTAGTCCTCAACTTATGACCGTTTGAGTAGTCCTCAACTTATGACTGGTTGGGGGTCGCGGCATTAAAAAGGTTGAGAACCACTGCTCTATACTGACTCTGAGTTAAAAGCGCCTTCTTTAAATCAAGTCAGATAGACAACTCGGTAGAAATGATTATAACAAAAAATATATTTCAACAGAAAGCTCAATTTGCATACATACTGTGTTGCTACTTCTGGAAATTACACCTGGCGCTTTTTACTCAGAGTCAGTATAGTAAATGAATGATGCTCTTTTCCATGCCATCTTTATAACGACTCAAGCTCATTGTGTGACCTTCCATGGCCCATGCTTCTTACAGACAAAGAGATTCCAGCCTGGCTTGTGTCCAGGAACTCCCAATGACCTTTTTAGACTCCTCCCACTGACCCATCAACATACCTAGCATTTAACCCAATAACTGCCAGATATTCTCACATACTGATACCTGCTCTCTAGTTAGGGTTACATTAGGCTATACCTTCCAGAATAAGCTCTCTCTTCATGGTGGGAGTTCCTGGGGGGGTGGAGGGGAGGAGGACCCATTGCCTGAGTGACATCTTAGCTGGGAGCTCCCCAACATTTGGACACCAGGGACCGGTTCCGTGGAGAGAGGTTTTTCCGCGGACCGAAAGGGGCGTGGTTTTGTGTGCTGCCTACATCTCGCGGATAAGGCTTTGCTTGTTTGTGGGGCCTGGCTGCTGGCATGCCGTGGCGCAGTACTGGTCCACGGACCGGGGTTGGGGACCCCCGTCTTAGCCTATTTTTGGGGGGCATGGTAAAAAGAGTGGAGACCCTGGTTCCAGGTGAGCTAAACAATCCTGCCCATTAGAGCAATGGAAAAAGTGGTACTTATTCATGTACTTGTTTAACACTGGAAGTTTTTAAGAAGAGACTGGACAGCCATCTGTCCGAAATGGTGTAGGGTTTCCTGCCCGAGCAGGGGGTTGGACTAGATGACCTCCAAGGTCCCTTCCAACTTTACTATTATTATTATTATAACCTGTCTTTATTATTTTTTATGAATAACTCAAGGCAGCAAACTTTCCTAATATTCCTCCTTCCTCCTGTTGTTCGCACAAGCCTGTGAGGTGGGTTAGGCTGAGAGAAAGTGGGCCAAGGTCACCCAGAGGGCTTTCATGCCTGCCACGGGACTAGAATTCAAAGTCTCCCGGTATCTAGCCCAAATCCCCCCAGCTGCCTTTCATGTCTAAGGCGGGATTAGAACTCAGAGTCTCCTGATGATTGGCCCAAAGACACCCAGCTGCCTTTTATGTCTAAGGGGGGGACTAGAACTCACAGTCTCCTAGTTTCTAGGCTTAAGCCAGCGATGGCGAACCTTTTAGAGACCGAGTGCCCAAACTGCAACCCAAAACCCACTTATGTATCGTTGGGTGCCGGGTGGGCGTGGCCCATTGGGTGGACGTGGCTGTGGTGATAACGGCAGACTGGGTGGGACTAAAAAGTTCAATCAATCAATTCCAACTTTGCGTGATTTTTTTTTCCCGCGAGAAGTTGAAATTGATTGAACCTTTTTTTTTTTGCACATAGTGGCGGAGGCCTAAAGCGAAAAGGTTTTATAAAACTCAACTGAAGGCGTAGGACTGGGGTGACGGCGCACGTGCCCACAGAGAGGGCTTTGCGTGCCACCTGTGGCACGCGTGCCATAAGTTCGCCACCGCGGGCTTAAGCACTAGACCCAATCTTCAAAATGGAACGAAAGGACAAATAAAGAGAGGCGGGGGAGACGTGGCTGACTTACGCAAATGAACCAGTCTTGACTTTCCTGAATCTGAATGATTGGGTTGGATTAGAGGCGCAAAGGAAACAGCCAAGATTTTCTTGGTCTCCCAGGCGGAAGGGCCTGTTCGAATAATCTTTGTCAGCTGCAGGGAAAGACAAAAGCAGAAGATGAAACATGTGCTACAGCAGAAATCACGGAACACCCCTCCCACCCCGCCCCTTCTCTGCTCCAGTTTCTTGCCCTCAAAGTGTACAAATACAAAACACACATTTAAAACATACTATATACAACATATGTACAGACCTACACCCTTACATATAAGTAACATAAATATTATTCGCTGTCCATCTTGAGTACATAACGGAAAGAGGGAGCTTTAAAGTTCACAAGGTTGATACTGTGTGTGTCAACACTGCAAATATTGTATATACTTGCTTTTGACAATATGCAGAATTGTCTGGCAAATATGGGGTTAATAAAGAGCAGAAGGGGCGTTGGGGGTAAAGCCCAGGGAAAGAAAGAGGAGGAAAACATTTGACCTTCACACTAATTGGATAGTGTGAGATATGAAGGCTAATTTAGGGAGGGAACATGCTGATAATTTAACTGCTCAGAGGAAGAGAACTTAGATCCTAGCATCCCTCCGTTGTGCCTATGCCGACATTTTGTAACAATAAAAAACTTTTAGGAAAATCAATGCCTGGAAGTTCTTTGGAATGTTTCATTAGCCGGAACCACAACAGTGTGGAGCGAAACTGTGACTCGATCGAGATGTTCTGCCTTCGATACCACGAAGCCCCCTCCTCCCAAAAGGTAACAAGGAAAACAGGTTGTGGAGAGGGTGTGTAGTGTCTGTCCCAGACAATCTTACGGACCCTGCTCAAGCATCACTTATGTACCATGTCCTGGATGGAAGGGAGGGAACTCCAATGATCTTTTCGGCCGTCCTCACCACTCTCAGCACCGCCTTCCTGTCCGAAGCAGGGATGCTTCCAAACCAGATTGTGATGCTGTATGACAGGATGCTCTCGATCGTCCCTCCATAGAAAGTGGTAAGGACAGGAGAAGGAAGATGTGCTTTTCTCATGCGACGCAGAAAATGCAGGCACATTTTCTTTATAATTGAATGCCTAATCTACACTTAAAACTGAACCGGATCCCACAAAGAATGAAAGATGATGGAAAGGCACATATCTGCTGATCAACCTGAAAATAGTAATTTGGCCACAGAGGTCAAAGAGTGGGTACAAAATTCTATTACACAAACCTGAGATGTGTTTAATTTTGTTGGATCCTTGCCTTAAAACAAATGCAACTTCCAATTCAATATTTCAACCCGAAATCCTCTTAAGCAAAATATTCTGCAGAAAGTGGGAAGGACGGGGGGAAGGAAGATGTGCTTTTCTCACGCAACAGTTTACTGACCGTTCAAAGTTAAAACAGCACTGAAAAAAGCAACATGGCCACTTACGACCATCGCAGCATCCCCAGAGTTACATAATCAAAATTCGGGCACTTGGCAACCATCTTGTATTTGCAGCATCCCAGGATCACCATTTACAACCTTCTCAGCTGGCTTCGGACAAGCAAGTCAGTGGAGAAGCCAGAGTCACTTAACAACGGCTTGGCTTAACAACGGCAATCCTGGTTCCAAGTCGAGGACTACCTATACGGCACTATACAATTTATACTGTACCTCAGGGGGCCCCAACCCCAGGTCTGTGGACCAGCACTGGTCCGCAGCATACCAGCAACCGGGCTGCACAAACAAGCAAAGCCCCATCCATGCGATGCAGACAGCAGACAAAAACACGCACCCCCTCCGGTCCGCAGAAAAACCTCTCTCTCTCTCTCTCTCTCTCTCTCTCTCTCTCTCTCTCTCTCTCTCTCTCTCCCTCCCTCCCTCTCCCAGTTGGTTTGCTCCTTTTCCGGATCTCCTGCTCTGCTGCCCCCCAGCCATCTCAGATCTATTTGACGTCCCTTTCCTTTGTTTCTTAGCAGGCAACTCTTTACGGGATGTATAGAACCCAAACAGTGTCGGACACTAACGCCGCCCATCCCCACCGGCCAACCTTTTCCTCCAGGGGCATGACGAGAATCCCACCGACTTTCAGCAAGTTCTTCATGTAATCTTCGTGCTCCTTCTGGACACCGGCTCCACAGTAGACGCGGTCGTATTGAGAGGAGTCTGGAGAGATTTCTAAGCAGTTTCCAGAGACAAAGGAAGGCTCACAGAATTCAAACCTCAGAAAGAAAGAAGGAAGGAAGGTGGGTTGTGAATGAGACTTCAACGCGGCAGGAGAATTCAACAGGGAGAGCAGTTTATTTTCGTTCAGATTTTTTTTTTACCCCACCTGTTGTAACTCAAGTCGGCGAACAGACTTAATACTCCTTTCTTCTCCTGTGTTTCACCAACAACAACCCTGTGAGGTGAGGCAAGCTCAGAGAGAGGAGCTGGCCCACAGTCATCCAGCTGGCTTTTCGTGCCTAAGGTGGGACTAGAACTCATACTCGCCTAGTCATCAGCCCAAGGTTACCCAGTCAGCTTTCATGCCTAAGACGGGACTAGAACTCCCAGTCTCCTGGTGAGTGGCTCAAGGTCACCCGCCTGGCTTTCATGCCTAGAACTCACACTCTCCTAGTGATTGGCCCATAGTTATCCAGCCAGCATTCATGCCTAAGGCGGGACTAGAACTCACAGTCTCCTGGTTTCTAGCGTGATGGCTTAACGACTGTATCAAACTGGTTCATTTGCAACATACATAGGGTTAGAATATGGGCTGGTAAGGTACAACCCTTCAGATAGTTTGGATAGTAACTCACCCAGCCCTGCCCTGGACTGTCCTTGAAAGCCGCAAGACTACCCATAACCTGCAGTGCTCATCTATCATTTACCTCTTTACGGTGCTATTATTTCCAGAACTGTTATAATTGGCCCTCTCCAAAAGACCTTGGCCAGCTTATAACATCCCATATATAATAACCGCAGCTTATAACATCCCATATATAATAACCGTAGCTTATAACATCCCATTATTATATATAATAATATATATTATAATAACATCCCATTATTTTATATAATAATATATATTATAATAACATCCCATTATTTTATATATATAATAATCACCCAGACAAAAACAGCCATAACAGTAAAAAAGGGAAAAATAAACTTAAACATACCATTAAACCCAAGCCTGGGAGCAAAGCCAGATCTTAATCTTTCAGAACCCAAAGAATGTGTGTGTGTGTGTGTGTGTGTGTGTGTGTGTGTGTGTGTGTGTGTATGGGGTTTGCTTAGTTGGGTTGCTGAACAAGTGGCTGCTGAATGAGGACCACTTGTATTTTGTCTTGGATTCACTTTCTTCTAGAACTAGGAATTACCATCTGAAGAGTAGGACTTTTTTTGTTTTTTGAAAATCCGCTTTGATGCAAACTAAAGGACCCTCTCATCTTACTTGTCAAAGCTGTCACTTGTTCTGATGAAGAAGTCCAGTTTCTGCTTGGCGTATTCTATAACGTCAGCGTGAAGCTCTACGCCATGGTTTATTCCAAAGGGACCTGGATGTGTAAAGAGTGCAAAGAGACAGTTATAAAAGGCAGGAAAAACACAGGTCAACGAGTTCCCTCCAGCTTGAAAAACAAACTAAGAAAGAGTTATTGCAACTCACTGGCTTATAACGGGCAGGTACTCATTAAAAGGTGCATGGAAACCAATTTTTTAGTTTTACCAACAAGTAGAATTGAACTGTAGTGTGGATAAAAAACGTACAGGTAAGTCATCTATGGCGAGTCTCAATCCTTCAGGTCATAGTTGTCCCAAAAGGTAACTGCTTTTTTTCTCGCTGGCTGAGGAATTCTGGGAGTTGAAGTCCACAAGTCTTAAAGTTGCCAAGTTTGAAGACCCCTGCTGTGGCGTTGCTGCAACGGTTGTAAGCACGAGGACTAGTTCCAAGTCATTTTTTTCCCCAGTGCCATTGTAACTTCAAAGAGTTGTTAAACAAATGGTTACACGTTGAGGACTGCCTGTGTAGAGCAACTAAAAGGATGCAGAAAAATGCTTTGCCTTTCACTGTGAAAACCAATCAAGCAGTGAAGAAATGGAAGAAGACGACATATGGGGGGGGGAGGGAAATAGATGCAGGAGATATAATTTTGATTTTTAAAGGAACTATTTATAGCATCTGAGTTTCAGGCCTTTTGGGTGCACAGGCAATTCTCAACTTGCAGTCCGAGTTTAGTGACCGTTCATTTAGCGGCCATTCAAAGTTACAACAGCCCTGAGAAAAGCGATGTTGAGAGAAAAATCCTCATCAGGGTCCAGTCCAAGCTGGGAATAAACAACATGGAGACTGCTTTAGAAAGAAGGTTGCAGTTTATTGAAGAGGAGAGCCAGACAGGAAGACGGCTCTGGGGAAAAACTGACCACATGTAATAGGGAGTAGTGGGTTTTTATACCTTCTTGGGCTTTTGTCTGGAGTTGTTCCTGTGGCATGAACTTTGACCCACGGTCATATGATCAAAATTCAGACACTTGGCAACTGGCTCATAGTTATGATGGCTGCAGTGTTCCGGGGTCACGTGATCCGCTTTTTACGACTTTCTGACAAGCGAAGTTCCTGAGGAAGCCGGATTCACTTAACATTTTATTAACTTAACAACGGCAGTGATTCACTTAACAACCGCGGCAGGAGATGTTGTAAAATGGGGCAACATTCACTTAACAAATGTTTCCCTTAGCAACGGAGATCTGAGGCTCAATTGCGATTGTAAGTTGAGGACTTACCCATATTCACCTTATTTTCAGTTTCCTAGAATATTTATAAAGGTCCTTAATGTTCTTCTAGATAGAAACTGTTCTTTTAAAGTACCATTTGCGGATGTGATGTTATACACAAGAGGTAGCAAAAAATGGCTTTTAATTGTTGGACTTTTAGAAGCGGCTTTTCTTTATTATTATTTTTTTCTCCCTTTGCTAACCCTGAACAGAGAGACTGAAACTTGTTGGCTCTCGTGGTGCAGTACAGACAACATTCTTAGGTTTCGAATTTGCTATTCTTTCCCAAACCTTTGTAACAACCTCTGCAGATGTCTGTGGGAAGGGAGGATCCACACCGGCTGTGCTGTGCTGACGTACAAAATAGGGCAAAACAACAATTAAGGACTCAGCCGAGGAATTACTGCAATTTTTCTCCCCAGAAGGTATCAAATTAGGAGACTCAATCTAACAACCCCAAATCCAACTCGTTAACTTTTCGGAACCTACTAAACTAGGATAACATCTTGAATCTACAGAATGAATGTCTGTTAAGATGTTTCAGGGAAATTAAACGAGACAGCCAGGCACCTAACTAACACAATGGCTGTGATTCCCTCCTTTCCATAATAAGCGAAGAAAATGCTGTACTTATGCAACATGGAAAAACTTGTTTTAGCCTAGCTTGGCCCTAGCCTGTGGAAGGAACTTAAAACCATAAAAAGCATACATGCATATAACATGCATTTATATTCTAATAATAATAATAATCATCATCATCATTAACTACATGGCCAATACATTAAAAAAATAGCTGGGAAAGCAGATAATAACAAGACTTGGCAATGGCTAAGAGCAGGAAAATTGAAGAAAGAGACAGAGGGACTAATTCTGGCTGCACAAGACCAAGCCTTAAGGACAAATGCATATAAAGTCAAAATTGAGAAGACAGCAACAGACAGTAAGTGCCGCCTATGCAAAGAAGCTGAAGAAACAGTGGACCACCTGGTAAGCTGTTGCAAGAAGATTGCACAGACTGACTACAAGCAGCGGCATGACAAAGTAGCAACAATGGTGCATTGGAAGATCTGCAAAAAATATCATTTGCCTGTAAGCAAAAACTGGTGGGATCATAAAATAGAGAAAGTCATAGAAAATGATAAAATTAAACTGCTCTGGGACTTCAGAATTCAAACAGATAAGCACCTGCAACATAACACCCCAGACTTAACAATTGTCGATAAGAAAGACAAAAAAGTCTGGATAGTGGACGTGGCAGTGCCTGGAGACAGCAGAATAGAAGAGAAAGAACTGGAGAAGATAACAAGATACAAAGACCTACAAATAGAAATAGAAAGAATGTGGCAAAAGCAAGCAAGGGTAGTACCAATAGTCATAGGCTCCTTGGGTGCAATCCCAAAACAACTGGAGCACCACTTGAACACCATTGGCATTGACAAATTCGCTATTAGTCAATTGCCAAAGGCGGCCTTACTAGGAAATGCTTCCATCCTGCGACGATATCTGTAATACCATCAAACATCCACATCTGCCTATCCCAGGTCCTTGGTAAGGACTCGATAGGTAGACAAAATGCCAAATCCAGTCTGAACATCTGGCTGACTGTGCAATGATCCATAATAATCAATAATCAATAATAATAATAATACAGTTGGAAGGGACCTTGGAGGTCATCTAGTCCAGCCCCTTGCTCAAACAGGAAACCCTATACCATTTCAGACAAATGGCTGTCCAGTCTCTTCTTAAAAACTTCCAATGTTGGAGCATTCACAGTTCTGGAGGTAGGTTGTTCCACTGGTTAATTATTCCCACTGTCAGAAAATTTCTCCTTAATTCTAGGTTGCTTCTTTCCTTGGTTAGTTTCCATCCATTGCTTCTTGTGCTGCCTTCAGGCGCTTTGGAGAATAGCTTGACTCCCTCTTCTTTGGGGCAGCCCCTCAAAGACTGCTATCATGTCCCCCCTCGTCCTTCTCTTCATTAAACTGTGTATCTGGATTCTGCAAGGGCCAGAAGAGGATTTTCTCCTTCTCAAGAACTAAGCTTTGAAATAAAACTTCGGGTTCCCCTCTGGACCAGCTCTGAGTGGTTTTGGAATTAATGGTGATAATGCAAACCCAACACTGCAATAACAATGGAGGAGGAGGAGGAGGAGGAGGAGGGGAGGGGAAGGGTCTCCTGCTTGACTAAGGAGCTGGATTAGATGACCTCCAAGGTCCCTTCCAAATCTGTTATTCTTTGATTCTGTAAGGCTCTCCTGCTTCAGCAGGGGGTTGGATTAGATGACCTCCAAGGTCCCTTCCAACTGTTATTCTTTGATTCTGTAAGGCTCTCCTGCTTGAGCAGTGGGTTGGATTAGATCAGGGGTGTCAAACTCAATTTCATTGAGGGTGGCATCAGCATTGCGGTTGCCCTGGGGGGGGGTGATGCGGCCTATTGGGTGGGCGTGGATGGAGTGGGTGTGGCCTACTGGGTGGGCATGGCCAGCTCTACATCGTTCGCGTCAAGGGTGCCTGTGGGGGCCTGGGCAGGAGTGGGGCAGATCTGAGGGTGTCTGGCAGAAGGGGGAGGGACCGGGGCAAGTGCCAAGGCATGGTCCATTTCTTCATTCCTCACAAAGGGTGACACCTCCTCCAGCATGCAACCAGGGACGAGGCCAACACGGCAGGGGCTGGTTCCTCGCTGTTTCCAGACGGCCTTGTGGAGCTAAGACTGAATGAGTTTCAGCATAGATGGCCACCACAAAATTATACATTGGCTCCCGGCCGGCCTGGGCCAGGGCCAAGGCAGCGGGGGCCGTTCCCTCACTGTTTCCCGGATGGCTTCACGGGCCACATGAAACCATTTTGTGGGCCACATTCAGCCCCCGGGCCTTGTGTTTGACATGTCTGGATTAGATGACCTCCAAGGTCCCTTCCAACTCTTGTCATCCCACCATTCCGTGAATAACATTTAAAGAAGTGTGACACAGTTGACACGGCTGAACCAAGCTGCAAGGTTCTCATAGAGCCTCATTAAAAAATAAGCAATTTTAAAACCAAGAAATAGACCAACAAACACTTTAGTAGCAAAGGACTCCAATCGAAGCCAGCTAGGAAATATTCTCTATCTAATACAGGAGTCCTCAACCTTGGCAACTTTAAGACTTGTGGACTTCAACTCCCAGAATTCCTCAGCCAGCAAAGCTGGCTGAGGAATTCTGGGAGTTGAAGTCCACAAGTCTTAAAGTTGCCAAAGTTGACTCCTGGTCTAATAGTATTTTTGGGATCTAAAGCCCATTCAAACTGGGGGGAAAGAGAAGGTCCTGCAGCCTTTCCCAGCTCCTCAGAGGACCAGGGCTTTTGAGAACCATAAAATACTTTTACAGTGAGTTTACAGAGCTATAAAATACAGGGTGCTAACAGCTCGCCTGCAGGATACTAATCCGACATAGCCGCTGAGCCCTCATTTTGTTTCAAAGTGGGTGGAAGGTCACAGAGCGACTGGTGTACATGCTGGAAAAATCCCTGGTTTAAACTGACAACTGAAACTTGACAGAGTTAATGCGACATTGCACAAGAATAACAGAGACAGAAGAACTGCAACTGCCCCCCACAGCCTCCCTCTTCCTCGTTTGACTCGACAGAAAATCTCCTTGGGTGGAAAAAAAACCAACCCTCTTGTTTTGTGGAAATAAGCAAGAATACTTGCCTCCTGCCCTCAATATTAAAGGTAGTCCTCAGCTTACAACCACAATCGAACCCCAAACTTATGTTGCTAAGTGAAAACGGTTGTTAAGTGAGTTTTGCCCCATTTTGTGTGTTGTTTTTTTTAGAAAATTTGATTGATTTTTTAGTTTTACATTTAAATATTTGAAAAGCAACATGGCGGCTGAGTTGGTCCATAATTCAATAACATACAAATATCCTTAGTACAGATCACAAACTACTATGTTAAATATTTCCTCTCTTTCCTCTCTTGGTATTTACCATCTCACCTTTAAATTAATACAATTCTTCTTATGTCGATTTAATACAAATAGATTTCTTACATTTATAGTAATAATAATAATAGTAGTAGTAAAGTTGGAAGGGACCTTGGAGGTCATCTAGTCCAACCCCCTGCTCAGGCAGGAAACCCTACACCATTTCGGACAAATGGCTGTCCAGTCTCTTCTTAAAACTTCCAGTGTTGGAGCATTTACTGCTTCTGGAGGCAGGCTGTTCCACTGATTAATTGTTCTCACTGTCAGGAAGTTTCTCCTTAGTTCTAGGTTGCTTCTCTCCTTGATTAGTTTTCACCCGTTGCTTCTTGTCCTGCCTTCAGGTGCTTTGGAAAATAGCTTAATTCCCTCTTCTTTATGGCAGCCCCTGAGATATTGGAATACTGTTATCATGTTCCCCCCTTGTCCTTCTCTTCGTTAAACTAGACATACCCAATTCTCGCAACCGTTCCTTATATGTTTTAGCCTCCAGTCCCCTAATCATCTTTGTTGCTCTTCTCTGTACTCTTTCTAGAGTATCAACATCTTTTTTACATCGTGGTGACCAAAACTGGATGCAGTATTCCCAGTGTGGCCTTACCAAGGCATTGAAGAGTGGTATTAATACTTCACGTGATCTTGATTCTATCCCTCTGTTAATGCAGCCTAGCACTGTGTTGGCCTTTTTGGCAGCTGCAGCACACTGCTGGCTCATATTTAGGTGATTGTCTACTAGGACTCCGAGGTCCCTCTCACAGTTACTACTATTGAGCATGGTGCCACCTATGCTGTACTTGTGCATTTGTTTTTCTTGCCTAAATGTAGAACCTTGCTTTTTTCACCATTGAATTTCATTTTGTTAGTTAGTGCCCAGTGTTCAAGTCTGTCCAGATCCTTCTGTATCTTAAGCCTGTCTTCTGGAGTGTTGGCTATTCCTGCCAGCTTGGTGTCGTCTGCAAATTTGATGAGTTCCCCATCTATCCCCTCGTCCAAATCGTTGATAAAGATGTTGAAGAGCACTGGGCCTAGAACAGAGCCCTGGGGCACCCCACTACACACTTCCCTCCATATAGATGCAGTTCCATTGAGGACCACTCGCTGAGTACGGCCGGTCAGCCAGCTACGGATCCATCTGGTGGTGGTTCTGTCTACCCCACATTTTTCTATCTTGTCAAGTAGTAGGTTGTGATCTACTTTATCAAATGCCTTACTGAAGTCCAAGTAAATTATGTATTTATCAATCATTTTTAGTTTACACATATCCTAGTTATTTTAACTTTCAATCTTTTTAGACAATCGGTGCCCTGGTAGGTTTTCCCCAATTTTTAGTTTGCCATTAATATTTAAATTTAACGTTTGATATTTATAATTCCCAATTTTTTAAATAACCCCCAATTCCCTTTATCACAATCCATCACAGGATCTCATGTTGCATCAGCTAATTAATAATGCAATATAATATTCTTATTTTCTAGTAATTTCCAAATATCTTAAATTTAATAAGCAAAATTTCTCTTATTTCAACATTTAATGCTTCCTCTCTTTTTGCCCCGTTTTACGACCTTTCTTGCTATATTTGTTAAGTGAATCACTGCAGTTGTTAAGTTAGGCACACAGTTGTTAAGGGAATCGGGCTTCCCCATTGACTTTGCTTGTCAGGAGGTCACAAAAGGGGAGCACATGACTCCCGGGACACCGCATCTGTCATAAATATGATCATGTGACCGCGGGGATGCTGCAATGGTCCTAAATGCAAAAAATGGTCCTAAGTCACTTTTTATAATAACTCTGAATGGTCACTCAAAGAACTGTTGTAAGTTGAGAACTACCCGAATTAACGTACAGAAAAAAAGGATATTAGTGGCGGTGCAGTGCTCAGAAGACAGTCTGACTCTGCCGACTGCCAGCGGTTCGATCCTGACCGGCTCAAGGTTGAGTCAGCCTTCCATCCTTCCGAGGTCGGTAAAATAAGGACCCAGATTGTTGGGGGGCAATATGCTGAGCCTGTAAACCGCTCAGAGAAGGCTGTAAAAAGCGCTGTGAAGCAGTATATAAGTCTAAGTGCTATTGCTATTAAGAGCTGTGGTAGTGCAGTGGTTAGAATGCAGCACTGCAGGCTGACTGCCGACTGCCAGCAGTTCGATTCTGACCGGCTCAAGGTTGACTCAGCTTTCTATCCTTCCGAGGTTCATAAAATGAGGACCCCAGATTGTTGGAGGCAATAGGCGGTCTCTATAAAACTGCTTAGAGAGGGCTGTAAAGCACCGTGAAGTGGTATATAAGTCTAAATCAGGGGTGCCAAACTTGCTGTGTCACATGACGTGTCGCAACTTTTTCCCTCCTTGCCAGAGCTTGGGTGTGTGCGGCTTCCATGTGACGCATCTGGCCCGCAGGCCGGCAGTTTGACGCCCCTGGTCTAAACCTTTATTGGCATTTTTTACTGTGAGCACAACGGCCCACATTAAAAATGAAATTTAGTTGCTTGCTCTCAAAGTGTACACATACATAACACACATTTAAAACATACTATATACAACATATGTATAGACCTACACCCTTACATATAAGTAAGTAACAGTTTAGCCCCAGAAATTATGGGCACTCCATCTCTGGAAGTTTTTAAAAAGAGACTGGACAATCACCTGTCTGAGATGGTATAGGTTCTCCTGCTTGGGCAGGGGGCTGGACTAGAAGACCTCCAAGGCCCTATTCTATTCTATTCTATTCTATTCTACTCTACTCTACTCTATTCTATACTCTACTCTACAATCTGTTTATTCTATTCTACAATCTGTTCTGTTCTATTCTATTCTATATTCTCATCACCATCATATATTTTATTTTATTCTACTCTACAATCTGTTTATTCTATTTTACAATCTGTTTATTCTATTTTACAATCTGTTTATTCTATTCTATTGTATTCTATTCTATTGTATTCTATTGTATTCTATATTCTCATCACCATCCTCATATATTCTATTCTATTCTATTCTATTCTATTCTATTCTACTCTACTCTACAATCTGTTTATTCCATTCTACAATCTATTTTGTTCTATTCTATTCTATTCTATTCTACTCTACAATCTGTTTATTCTATTCTACAATCTGTTCTGTTCTGTTCTATTCTATTCCTATTCTATATTCTCATCACCATCCTCATATATTTTATTCCATTCTACTTTACAATCTGTTTATTCTATTTTACAATCTGTTTATCCTATTCTACAATCTGTTTTGTTCTATTCTATTCTATTCTATTGTATTCTATTCTATATTCTCATCACCATCCTCATATATTCTATTCTGTTCTATTCTATTCTATTCTATTCTTATTCTACAATCTTTCTATTCTATTCTATTCTATTCTATTCTATTCTATTCTATTCTATTCTATTCTTATTCTACAATCTTTCTATTCTATTCTATTCTATTCTACTCTACTCTACTCTACTCTATTTTGTTTTAAGATAAGATAACCTTTATTATCATTTTTTTACTGTGGGCACAACGGCACACATCAAAAACGAAATTTAGTTGCCCGCTCCCATAGTGAAACACATACATGACACAAACCTACAACATACTATGTACAACATATGTATAGACCCACAGCCCTACATATACATAGCAAATAAATATTAAATACTGTCCATCTTTGCATTCATGAGTCAAGAAGCAGGGTTTGCGGGGGAAATTTGGCAAAAATGCACAACATCTTACCCAAGATGAGTCCGACCATGGAGCTCAGGTAACCGGTGCCGCTACCTAGGTTCAAGAAGGAAAGTCCGGGATGAAGATCCAAGGCTTCCATGACTTCGGAGTAAATGCAGGGGGCAGACAGATGGATGTTCCCATGTTTCCAGGCCAAATCTTTGTAGGCATTCTCCTTGAATTCCTCCAGGTAATAGTCGGCCCTGTCAACAGCCCTGAAGGCCTGTTCCACCAGCTCCGACCGAATGTACTGAGCCTCCTTCAGGTGATCGATTAACTCGTCATTGTCTTCTCCGGCGCTCACTGCCCCTCCCATGGTCCTCACAAGGGTTCAAAAAGTCACCTCTGGATTACAGAAGGAACAGAAAAAGCATTATTGGCCACCATTCAGAGAAAGAGTTGAGGAGAGATTCCTGGGCATATACAGTCAGTCCCCGACTTACAACAGTTCATTTAGTGACCGTTTGTTATCAAATCAGTAGGGAAATAGTTTCTCTGAAGGTGGCCAAACTCTGCTATGCTGTATGTAAAATTAGGCCGGGGGTAGGCAACCTTGGCTCTTTTATGACTCGTGGACTTCAACTCCCAGAATTCCTGAGCCAGCATGGGGGAAACTATGGCCCCCTCATGACTCGTGGACTTCAACTCCCAGAATTCCTGAGCCAGCATGGAGGAACTATGGTCCCTTCATGACTCGTGGACTTCAACTCCCAGAATTCCTGAGCCAGCATGGGGGAACTATGTCCCCTTCATGACTCGTGGACTTCAACTCCCAGAATTCCTGAGCCAGCATGGGGGAACTATGTCCCCTTCATGACTCGTGGACTTCAACTCCCAGAATTCTTGAGCCACCTTGGCTCAGCTTGGAAACCTCTCCTTTTCCCCTCAATGTGGCTGGCTCAGGAATTCTGGGAGTTGAAGTCCACGAGTCATAAAAGAGCCAAGGTTGCCTACCCCGAATTAGGCTAACTGCCCATTGTTAAACAGGCACCGATTGCAATATGTTAGTCTTTATTGGTGTTTTATTTTTATTTTTTGACTATTATTATGGTTGTTTTTAATGCTTTTATTTGCTGATCTGTGATCGTAATGAAAATTGATTGGCCATTTGAAGTTACAACGGCATTGAAAAAAGAGACTTATAGCTATTTTTCACCCTTAACGCCCATTGCAGCTTCCCTATGGTCATGTGACCAAAATTCAGACGCTGGGCCATTGACTCATATTTATGACGGTTGCGTGTCCTGGCATCATGCGTTCCCCTTTCGTGACCTTTTGACAAGCCAAGTTAATGGGGAAGCCAGATTCACTTAGCAACCGTGTTATTAATTTAACACCTGCAGTGATTCACTTAACAACTGTGGCAGGCCAAGTCATAAAAAGGGGCAAAACTCACTTAACAAATGTCTCGCTGAGCAGCAAAAATTTTGGGCTTAACTGTGGCCATAAATTGAGTACTACCTGTATATACAAAGCACACACAGAAACCTTGTTAATTAATTTCTCTCTTTTTTTAAAGTTTTATTGATTTTCTAATTTTCTAATTTTTGTTAATTAATCTCTTTCTCACCAGAGATTTTCCTTTAAAAATCTCAGAAATAAGAAAGCTGAACTCCAGCTGACTTCTGACATTGTGTGCGCTTTTGTGAAGGAACACAACACAGAAATGTGACAATCTGTATTATCAATGCTCAAAAGACTGTTACTTTATAATAGAAAGAGGAGATCGTACATGGGATACATTCAGGTAATCCTTCACCTCCTTTGGCACCACAAATCTCTGAACAATTCTCTTGGAATTCCTTCCAACAATAATTCACAACTTTGTTAGTGTAACTAGCACCTGATTAAGACACCCGGCAGCTTCAGGATCGAGTTGCAGGTAGTCCTCGACTTACGACCACAACAGAGCACAAAATTTCCGTGGCTAAGGGAGACAGTTGTTAAGTGAGCTTGGCCCCATTTTACGATCTTTCGTACCATAGTTGTTAAGTGAATCACTCCAGCTGTTAAGTTAGTAACACAGCTTTTAAGTGAATTGGGCTTCCCCGCTGACTTTGCTTGCCAGAAGGCTACCAAAGGGGATCACATGACCCCCGGGACACTGCATCCGCCATAAGTATGAGTCAGTTGCCAAGTGTCTGAATTCTGAATATGTTACTATGGGGACGCTGCAACGGTTGTAAGTCTGAAAAATGGTCATAAGTCACTTTTTTCAGTGATGTTGTAATTTTGAACTGCTCTACGTCGAGGATTCCCTGTAACGTTGTGCTCTGAAGCCTGGTTCTTTCCTCAGTGCAGCTGCTGTGTTGGCTCAAATATTGTACGCTAGAGATGAAGCTGACTCAGGAATGACTAACCAGGGTCCTTGTCTAATTTTGCAGTTGCTGAACCCCGAACTGAACAACCTGCTCTCCACGTCTATGGAGGTTATCAGTCATCCAGGCCATGGTTGTCCCAAAGGTGCTTTTTCCAAGAGGCAACTGGACTTTCTTGTTTCTCATCAAAGGACCAGCTGTCTGCACGGAATATACGGTAGTGGCCAAAATTGTGGAAACTTTTTGGGAAAAGTGTATTTTTGGGGTTTGATGGCGAATAACACCCCTTTTTGGGGGGAGTAGCACCATAAAATTATATATCAATGGAAAGATAATTTAATCAAGAATGTAATGCAACGAAGTTTGTTCAATTATCTGTACTGGATTCTATGAAAAGTTATAGCCAAATAACCAGAAAAAGGAAGTGCAACTTGCTTAGGTTGATATGGGATAGCTTTCCTTCATCGGATTGTAGCCAATGAGAGTGAGCGTTTAGAAAGCCAATCGGGTGTCATCTTGTTTTGGCCATAGAGCCAATCAGATCACAGTAGGATTCAGTTATTGATGTCCTGTATTGAAGCTGAGAGGAGGACATTGGTCAGTGTGTTATGTGATGACTATCAATTTGGTTGGGGTTTTTTTTGTGCTCTTTCATTGAGTGAGCTCGTAAAACGTAATAAAGTCACGGTGCAAAGAGTTGACTGGTTGCCCAGAAAGCGATGTAAAATAATATTGTTAAGTGAACAAGGCTACAGTTATAAAGAAATTAGAAGAAAAATGGGTGGAAACTTAACCAAAGGTGGCATTTCTACTGTACACTTTTCCCAAAAGGTTTCCACAATTTTGGCCACTACTGTAAATCCGTCCATTTCCCCACCATCCAGTCAGAGCTGAAGAAGCTTCTTGGGTGAGAAGCGAAACGTCTTCAAAGAAAAACAAGAAAGTCCAGTTGCCTCCTGAAAACAGTCTTTCCTCGTTTCTCTACGCTTAGCTAAACAACAATAACAACAACAACAAAAAACCCCAAACCCTACAATGCAGAATTTTCCATTACACTACCTCAGTTTACAATCGTAATTGTGCCTGGGATTAGGGTTTTAAACTGAGCTGGTCATTAAACGGGTTACCATGTAACCCTGCCTGATTTTACAACCTTTTTTTTTTTGCAGCTGTCATTAAATGATTCACCACAGTCATTAAGTGCATCCATTGTCAACAATGGGCATCTTTGCAAGTAGAAACAAATCGTGGTCATGCGTTCGCGGGACACATGCAGGCTGGTTACTGAACACACCGTGATCATTTAACCACAGGGATGGGAATGAGCTGGCTGTCGTTACTTTGAATCCAGGTTGTAAGTATGACAGTACTGGGAAACCTGTTGTAATATCACTAAGCCAACGATTATAAGTCGAGGATGATCTGTTCTCTACGTTTAGCGACTACCTAATTTAGCCATTACTTACAGTTACTGTATTTTCCGGCGTATAAGACAACTTTCTAAACCATGCAAATCTTCTCCGAAGTCGCAGGCCATCTTATACGCTGAGTTGTCTTATATGGCAGAAAATACCGTATTTTCCGGCATATAAGATGACTTTCTAGCCATGCAAATCTTCTCCGAAGTCGGGGGTCGTCTTATATGCCGAGTCGTCTTATACGCCGGAAGATACAGTACATACTTACAGTTACAAAGGTGATGAAAAAGTGACTTTATAACTAATCCTCGCATGTATGACCTTCACAGGTCTGTAAAGCAAAGAAAAGTTGAAGTAAGATCATAAGCACAGTCGGGATTTCACTTGGCGACCGCTTTGCTTAATGACTGCATTGCCAGTCCCAGTTGTGGCTGCTAAACGAGGACCAGTTGTATTTTTCCTGAAATAGCCTTGAAGTCTAAGTTTGGTCCTGGACGTCTTCTTAAGGAGATGGACTCTGATAGAGGACCTACTCAGAACATGTCCCACCCCAACCATTTCAATAGTCCCCCACTCCAGTTCTTAACATGCACGTCTCAATAGTAGTAATGAGACTTTAGATAGATAACCTTTATTGTCATTTTTTGCTGTGGGCACAACGGCACACATTTAAAAATGAAATTTAGTTGCTTGCTGTCAAAGTGTACACATCATAACGCACATTTAAACATACTATATACAACATATATATAGACCTACACCCTTATTTATAAGTAACATACAACTATTAATCACTTTCCATCTTGAATACATAACGGAAGGAGGAAGCTTCAGAGTTCACAAGGTGGATACTGTATGGAATGGAACTATGACTGAATCGCGATGTTCTGCTTCGGATGCCACGAAGCCCCCTCCTCCCAGAAGATAACAAGGAAAGCAGGTTGTGAAGAGCACGTGTCGTGTCCCAGACAATCTTACGGACCCTGCTCAAGCATCACTTATGTACCATGTCCTGGATGGAAGGGAGGGAACAGCCAATGATCTTTTCTGCTGTCCTCACCACTCTCTGCACCGCCTTCCTGTCTGAAGCAGGGATGCTTCCAAACCAGACTGTGATGCTGTATGACAGGGTGCTCTCGATCGTCCCTCTGTAGAAAGTGGTCAGGACAGGGGAAGGAAGATGTGCTTTTCTCATGTGACGCAAAAATGCAGGCACATTTTCTTTATAATTAAATGCATAATCTACACTTAAAACTGAACCGGATCCCACAAAGAATGAATGATGATGGAAAGGCACATATCTGCTGATCAACCTGAAAATAGTAATTTGGCCACAGAGATCAGAGTAGGTACAAAATTCTATTATACAAACCTGAGATCTGTTTAATTTTGCTGGATCCTTGCCTTAAAACAAATGCAACCTCCAATTCAATATTTCAACCCAAAATCCTCTTAACCAAAATTTTCTTAAATAATTGCTTTAACTGGGGTCATTGTAAGTATCACATTAAAATTTTCACATACTCTCTCTTTTGGCATGCCAGTTTTAATCAGCGAGCACTTTGTAATTTCAAGTGCCATTTAGATAGACTGTTAATAATACATATAGGAAAAAGAGCACAGGAATTTTAATTAGAGTATTTTGCTCTTCTAACAAGAGACTTGTAGAATCAGCCAATCTGGTCTTCAGTTTCCAATTTAATATGTTTTACTTTGGCATGTGTTCAGGAAAACCAATCATCCACTTGTATGTATCAAAACTGTATCAATAAAAATAAAACACACTGCAAAATCTAAATGGGAAATTACCACTTCAGCAGAGTTCCCATTGAACACTTACAAATATTGGTATTGTATTTAGGTGGATTTGGGATAATCTGCAAAACAACAACTCTAAAAAACAGGCACTAAGATACCTATTTGTTATACACCAACCTTTCTCCAGGAGTTCAAACAGATTTACTGATTCTTATCATAACAACAATCTTATGAGGTAGGATAAGCTGAAAGAGTATGATTGAATCACCAAGAGAGTTTCTACAGATGGAGTTGAATCTGCACTATAGGTGGTCCTTAACCTACGACTATCATGGATCCTTGCCCATCATGATTGTAAGTCACAATGTTCACAAAACACGACCTCATGTCACGTGACTGACCTGATTTTATGACCTTTTTACAGGCGTGGTCAAGTGAATCACCCCGATCATTAAGCGAATCCACAGTCATTAAGGAAATGCCTTGGTCGTTAAGTGAACAAAGGTCCGCTCTGTAACTGCCAGTTTTCACCCAAACTGTCATAAAACAGGGTCACTTGACTGCCGGACACTGCAAATGGCCAGGTTGCCAGGCATCTGACCTTTGGTGGAGGGGCGACTGTGGTAACTTTGAATCAGGGTCGCAAGCAGCCCCGAGGTAGGTTTGTCGTAACTTTGAATAGTTGCTAAACAACTGGTCGTAAGTTGAAGAAAACCTACGCTGTTGACAGACTTAAAATGTGTGCAGTAGGCTTGGTTTATAATAGAACAGAATAACAGCGTTGGAAGGGACCTTGTCTCTACCTGCCTAGATAAACCTGTATTTTTTTGGAACTGAGCTGAACCCTTCTGAGCATGAGCAGATGCAGACCTGCTTGATGAGGGATAATCATGGCTTGAAGTGAGGCGGCTGTCAAGGATTTGTGGCTCTGAGAGAACCTTTCCCAGGAGCTATACCTGCCCGAGAGATAATCGCATAAGCAGATTATCACCTATCCCAGGGGCAGGCAGGCTTGGCTCTTTTATGACTCGTGGACTTCAACTCCCAGAATTCCTGAGCCAGCCACGCTGAGGGGAAAGGGAGAGGTTCCCAAGCTGAGCCCTGCTGGCTCAGGAATTCTGGGAGTTGAAGTCCACGAGTCATAAAAGAGCCAAGGTTGAGGACCCCTGATATAGGGCAGGGATAGGCAACCTTGGCTCTTTTGTGGACTTCAACTCCCAGAATTCTTGAGCCAGCCATGCTGAGGGGAAAGGAAGAGTTTCCAAGCTGAGCCATGCTGGCTCAGGAATTCTGGGAGTTAAAGTTCACCAGTCATAAAAGAGCAAAGGTTGCCTACCCCTGGTCTAAACCCAACATTGGGTCCTTCAGTGGCATCCTAGGACAACTCCCAGAATTCCTGACCCAGCGTGGCTCAGCTTGGAAACCTCTCCCTTTCCCCTCAGCGTGGCTGGCTCAGGAATTCTGGGAGTTGAAGTCCACCAGTCATAAAAGAGCCCAGGTTGCCGGCCCCTGCTAGACCAAACTGGCATTGCTCTTTCTTTTCCTCATGAACTGTAAACTCTCCATCTTGTCTATTGTAATATACCTTCAGGTCTACCTTTTCCCAGAAAGACTTGCTTCTGATCCTCAAGTGAAAAGACCCTGTTACCTTACCCCTCCCTCCCTTCTGTCTCTACTCTGGATATCAAATGAGGGTTCCTAGAAGTGAACATACAGAGAAAAGCAAACACAGAATGGATCTCAATAAAGGAGAATATTTATAGCTCCAAGAATGGATGTTCCATGTATTTGTCCTCAGCCTTTTATGGATCCTGCAAAACACGGACCAAAACTAAGAGCTCTAAATGGGATTTAAGTAGAAATGCACCTCTTTCTGGCATTTAGCTGCCGGTGCTTCATATAGCTTAATGCTTATTGTCAGCACATATATTCTCCTTCACTAAACAATATATTCCAAGTTAAAAAGATCCTCCATGCAAAAGACATCTGCTTTCTGACCTGGTTCTCTTATTACAGGGCTATTAGCATGCTTCTACATGCTTTGTTCAAGCACAGAAAGAGATAATTGGTTTGCAGCCAATTCTGGGCACACTTACTGAAAAAAAAAAAATCTCCTGCCTACGCTGCCCTATCACTGTATCCCAGGGGAAGGAGGGTGTGGATGATAATGAATAGCTTTCTGACAACAAAACTCATGTTGTGCAGCCCAGGCCTACTGCAGACAGCCTAGTTTCCAAATGCCAGAAAAAGAAAAAGAAAAAAAGTGTGTTGTGTTTCTTTTTCTGCAATGACCATCACAATCCCTGGCATTTGTTCCATGCAAACAAGAGTGTCAAAACTTTATTCCTTGGATGGTCGCCCAGATGTTCCTTCTATTTACAGCAATGAAGTTGTGCTAAAGAACTTCGCCTATATTCGCAGGACGCAACCTAAAACAGCGGAACTGATTTTCGCACTCAAAGGAAACACTTGGTTTTCAAGGCAAACCAGCCCCGTTTCAGGAAAAACCCAGAGGTACTTTCCAAAAGAAATTCAAAGTACTCAAAAGATATTGCACAGGCATTTCCGAGCAAATCTGTGTCTATGAAGAAATGCACGTTATTAGACATTGGGAAAAACACCTGGTTCTTTTAGAAATGGTCAGGAAAGGCCGCCACAAGACAACATTTGCATAAGTTGCAAGAATGTATAACAGCAGCTTTCACTGTGACAAATACCCACAAGGACTTTTAGGATTAAAAACTAGGATAAATATTTACCTATCTCCAGTATGCGACTGGTGGTGGTGGTGGGGAGAATCTTGCTTAGGAAGAAAGTATTATGAATAAAGGGCAGAAGAAAGTTGCTAATCCTTTCAGCATAAGCAAGCAACACATCATTTCAGGAAAGGCCCACCTCAAGAGAGAGAAATGGGACAATAATTTGGGTATGTGTGCCTGATGTTACTCTACACTACTGAAATGGCTGTGAGCCAGCCTTCTCCGCTCTCCAGATATGCGGACCAATGCCCAGACTCCTCAGCAAAGGCTGGTTGGGGAATTCTGGTAGCCAAATTCCACACATCCGGAGCTCTCTCAGGTTGAGAAACATCTGTTAAGAAGAAATGGCAAAGTCCCATGCGCTGCCAACCATTTATTAACCAAATAAAACAGCTTGCTTTGATGTCATGACACAGAAAAACAACCCAACCAGCAGTCAACATTTAGACCAAAGAGAACTGCAAGGCCAGCCACAAAAAAACCCAGCAGGGTATTATTTTCAGATTAATATTTTCAAGGGCCCTTTGAAGGGTTAAGCAGGGTGAGGGGAATTTTTCCAGATATGGGGGCTACTCCCCTATGATGCACAGCCAATATATGGCAAGTTGGACATTGTGGGAATGCCTAGCAGGGAAATCACTCCCTCTACCCCTCCCCCCATAATGCACAGCCAGTATGGGAGTCTGGGCACTATGGGAATGCCTAGTAGGGAATCCCATCCCCCATTGTGCCCAGCCAGTATGGCAAACTGGGTACTAGGGGAATCCCTAGCAGGGAATTCCCCCCGCCCCCATGGTGCACAGCCAGCAGGGGAAGCCGGGCACCAGGGGACTCCCCAGCTGACCAGAGGCTCTTCTGCTTCCTGGCCTAGGTCACAGCACCCTCTTGGAGTACAACACCCTTCCTATCTTGCCTACCGACCCTGGCCAAGGATGATGGGTCCTGTGGTCCAACCTCTGTGCAGGGCGCCAGAGCGTTTCTAAAACCCCCCCTCCGGGAAAAAAGGGGGGAGGGAGGGCTCACCCCACAGAAGCTGGGGCGGGGGGGGAGGCTGTTGCTAGGGGGCAGAGAGGGGCGGGGGGAGGCTGTTGCTAGGGGGCAGAAAGGGGCGGGGCCTGGCCGCCAGGGCTACCCGGGCGACAGGGGCTCCCCCCCCCGCCTGCCATCACTTGAGGACGGAGGGAGCCCCGAGGAAGAACAGCCGGCGCAGCTCTACCTGTTCCTCCAGCGCCAGCCGCCTCCGCCGGCCCTCCGAGCCGCCAACTCTCCCCCTGCCCAGCCACACGCCGCGTCCTACGGCTGTAAACAGAAGCTCTGCTGCCCAAACAGCCCCCCCCCAGGGCAGCGCCACTGCGCAGGCGCCGCCGCGTGAGCGCCTCTGACGTCACGCGCTGGACGAGGCGGGCGGCGGGCGGGAGGGAACGTACCATACGGGCCGAAAGGGAAGGGTGGGCGAAGGAGAAGGGTCTACCTTGTCTTGCGCGGGGGTGTCTGGGTGAACACGTGTTTGGAAGAGAAGGCGGGAGAAGCGTGTGAATGCCGAGCTAAAAAGGCTGTATCTAGGACTGATTAACAAATGAGAGCGTTTACTCTCCGTGGTTCATTAATACTCCCACTTAGCCTTCCTGCTAATGGCTACAAAAACTGCTAGAGATGCGACATACAGGTAGCCCCGACTTACAACCGTTCGTTTAGTGACCATTTCAAGTTACCATGGCAGCTGAAAAAAAATGCCTTATGACCCTTTGTTCGTGATCCGTTTTGGTGACCTTCTGACAAGCAAAATCAAGGGGGGAAGCCAGATTCACTTAACAACCAGGTTACCAACTTAGCAACTGTAGTGATTCACTTAACAGCGATGTCAAGAAAAGTTGTAAATGGGGCAAAGCCTTGCTTAACAATAAAAAAAAAATGGGGCTCAGTTGTGATTGCAAGTCAAGGACTACCTGGATGTGTTTACTCCCACCCCAGCTCCGACAATGCGAAAAAAGTCATGATATGTCACGACACATCACGTGATGCAGCAAGTTTGACACCCGTGCCTTACAGGGACATGATAAAAATTGCAAGAAGCTTATCATTGGGTGTTCATTTTTGTGTTTTTATGCAGTTTTCTTAATTTCAACAAGGACCATGTGGCGTGATCACAAGATGGCGTTCTTGCTCAAGTTGTTGTGTATAGTAGGTAGAAAACTTATTAGTTTAAATATGAGATAGTAGATATCAAGAGAAAAAAAGAGGAAGTATTAAATGTTGAAATAAGAGACATTTTGGTTACTAAATTTAAGATATTTGGAAACTAACAGAAAATAAGAATGTTATATTGTATTACTAATGAGTTGATGTAAGATGGTGAGAATTCAAATAGATAAAGACGTGTATCCTGAACATTAGATCTTATGATGAATTGTGATAAAGGGAATTGGGGTTATTTAAAATTTGGAAATTATAAATATTAAATGTTAAATTTAAATGTTAATGGGAAACTAAAAATTGGGAAAAAACAATTAGTATATTGATTGTCTATATAAAGATGGAATGTTAAAATAACTAGGATATGTATAAACTAAAAATTAATGATAAATGTAAGAAAGTTATTTTTATTTAATCGATATAATAAGAATTGTATTAGTTTAAATATGAGACAGTAAATACTAAGGGGAAAAAAGAGGAAATATCTAATGTAATAGTTTGAGATCTGTGCTAAAGATACTTGTATGTTATTGAATTATCGATTAACTCAGCCTCCCCGTTGCTTTTTAAAAATTTAAATGTAAAACTAGAAAAATCAATAAAATTTTCTTAAAAAAAAAAAGAAAGCTTCCTAAAGACAAATTGGATAGCAATACATCCTGCAGCCAAGAAGTCTTTACACACATTTGCGCTACTCAGGTGACCCTGAGGACACAGCTAAACCTCCAAATGGCCCCCAATGACTCTCTAAAACACGGGTGTCAAACTCGACTGTGTCACGTGATGTGTCGCCATGTTTTTTGCCTTTGCAGAACTGGGGTGGGCGTGGCCTGTGCATGACACCCCTGCTCTAAAAGAAGGCAAATGACCAGCTGTCTGCAAGGAGTATAAATCCTTCCATTACCCCACCATCCGGTCAGAGCTGAAGAAGCTTCTTGGATGAGAAGCGAAACGTCTTCAAAGAAAAAACGAGAAAGTCCAGCTGCCTCGTGAAAAAAGCACCTTTGGGACTTAAAATACATTCGATAGGAGTGGTTCCCAACCTTTCCAGCTTGGCAGCCCGGCCCTGTGTGTGTCTGGTAGGCGCATGCCTGCACGCACAACTCCATTGGTCTGGACCAGGGATAGGCAACCTTGGCTCTTTTATGACTCGTGGACTTCAACTCCCAGAATTCCTGAGCCAGCATGAGGGAACTATGGCCCTCTCATGACTCAGGGACTACAACTCCCAGAATTCCTGAGCCAGCATTGCTCAGCTTGGAAACCTCTCCCTTTCCACTCAGCGTGGCTGGCTCAGGAATTCTGGGAGTTGAAGTCCACATCTCTTAAAAGTACCCAAGGCTGAGAAACAGTGGGCTAGGCCAGGGGTAGGCAACCTTGGCTCTTTTATGAATGGTGGACTTCAACTCCCAGAATTCCTGAGCCAATATGGCTCAGCTTGGAAACCTCTCCCTTTTCCCTCAGCATGGCTGGCTCAGGAATTCTGGGAGTTGAAGTCCTCGAGTCATAAAAGAGCCAAGGTTGCCTACCCCTGTCCTAGTGATTAGCCCAAAGTCACTCAGACAGCTTTTTTCGTCTGGACAGTGGGCGCATGCCCCATCCATTTGTGCGAGTGGAGCTTCACACCCAAGTGCAACAGCCCATAGCTCATGTGAGTGGAGCTTCATGCGCAAGTGTGCTTGCCCAGTTTTGAACAGGCCGCAGCCCAGGGGTTGGGGAGCCCTGTTCTACAGGTAGTCCTCGACTAACAACCACAAGCGAGCCCAAAATTTCTGTTGCTAAGTGAGACAGATGGTGCGAGTTTTGCCTCATTCTATGACGGTTCTTGCCACAACTGTTAAGCGAATCACTGCAGTTGTTAAATGAATTACTTGCTTGTTAAGGATAACCGATTTCCCCCTTGACTTTGCTTGTCATGTGATCACAAAGGGTGATCACATGACCCTGGGCCAGTGCCACAGTCACAAATATCGTATTTCTCCAAAAAAATAAGACCCCACTTGAAAATAAGCCCTAGCATGATTTTTCAGGATGCTCGTAATATAAGCCCCACCCCCAAAATAAGCCCCAGTTAAAATCATCAGCCAGATGAATGCATGTAGTACCATATTTTCCCCAAAATAAGACCTAACCGGAAAATTAACCCTAATGCGTCTTTTGGAGCAAAAATTAATATAAAGCCCGGTAAAGAAGAGGGAGTCAAGCTATTTTCCAAAGCACCTGAAGGCAGGACAAGAAGCAATGGATGGAAACTAATCAAGGAGAGAAGCAACCTAGAACTAAGGAGAAACTTCCTGACAGTGAGAACAATTAACCAGTGGAACAACCTGCCTCCAGAAGTGGTGAATGTTCCAACACTGGAAGTCTTTAAGAAGAGACTGGACAGCCATTTGTCTGAAATGGTATAGGGTTTCCTCCCTGAGCAGGGGGTTGGACTAGATGACCTCCAAGGTCCCTTCGAACTTTTGTATTATTATTATTATGGATCATCGCACAGTCAGCCAGATGTTCAGACTGGATTTGGCATTTTGTCTACCTATCGAGTCCTTACCCAGGACCTGGGATAGGCAGATGTGGATGTTTGATGGTATTACAGGTATTGTCGCAGGATGGAAGCAATTCCTAGTAAGTCCGCCTTTTGCAATTGACCAATAGCGAATTTGCCAATGCCAAAGGTGTTCAAGTGGTGCTCCAGTTGTTTTGGATTGCACCCAAGGAGCCTATTACTATTGGTACTACCCTTGTTTGCTTTTGCCACAGTCTTTCTATTTCTATTTGTAGGTCTTTGTATTTTGTTATCTTCTCCAGTTCTTTCTCTTCTATTCTGCTATCTCCAGGCACTGCCACGTCCACTATCCAGACTTTTTTGTCTTTCTTATCGACAATTGTTAAGTCGGGGGTGTTATGTTGCAGGTGCTTGTCTGTTTGAATTCTGAAGTCCCAGAGCAGTTTAATTTTATCATTTTCTATGACTTTCTCTATTTTATGATCCCACCCGTTTTTGCTTACAGGCAAATGATATTTTTTGCAGATCTTCCAATGCACCATTGTTGCTACTTTGTCATGCCGCTGCTTGTAGTCAGTCTGGGCGATCTTCTTGCAATTGCTTACCAAGTGGTCCACTGTTTCTTCAGCTTCTTTGCATAGGTGGCACTTACTGTCTGTTGCTGTCTTCTCAATTTATTATTATTATTGTTGTTGTTATTATTATTATTATTATTATTATTATTTTTGGGGAAACACGGGTACATGCCATTTGCCAAGCATCTGACTTTTGATCACATGCACATGGGGATGCTGCAAGGGTTGTAAGTGTGAAAACAGGCCACGCCTCACTTTTTTCAGTGCCGTTGTACCTGAGCAGTCGGGACATTGGAGAAAGGTTGAGATAAATGGGAGCAGAGACTGGAAGGTAAATCCTTTGATCAGAGTGAAGGAAGTAGGAACTTTTAACTTCGTAAGGAGAAGGCTGAGAAGGAAACTGATGGCATCGTTCAAATATCAGAAAAGATGGTTAGATCTAAGAATCCAAGGTCTGTGATTTGATTTCCCAGATGACTTACCAGGGAATAGGGATCTTAAGTTGGTAGGAAGATGCTAAGACTTCAGTGTTAAAAGAAAGAGATTCCATACTAAGCAATTTCACAATAAACTGATTCCTAAGTACAAATACTCCTCGGTTTACAACAGTTCATTTAGTGACTTCTCCACGTTACAATGGCACTGAAAAAAGTGACTTATGAGCATTTTTCATACATAACGACCATTGCAGCATCAGGATCAAAATTCAGACGCTTGACAACTGACTCATACGTATGACCTTTGCAGTGTCCCAAGTCACGCGATCCCCTTCGGCGATCTTCTGGCAAGCAAAGTCAGAAGGTGGGGCAGCCAAGATCCACTTAACAACTGTGGCTAATTTAATAAAGGCACTTAACAACGGTGGCAAGAAAGGTCGTAAAATGGCACAAACCTCACTTAACAACTGACTCGCTTAGCCACAGAAATTTTGGGCTCAATTGTGGTCGTACGTCGAGCGCACCTGTAATTGTTTTGTCAATGACTCAATTGTTGAAGTGATGAATAACAAAATAGCAAAGTTGGAAGGGACCTCGGAGGTCTTCTAGTCCAACCATGGTGAAAAAAGTAAGGTTCTATATTT